ACATTGGAAATAACCAAGCTTGGTGACACAGGCCTTTAATCCCAGGAAGCCAGCCTTTAATCCCAGGGAGTGGTGGTAGAAAGCAGAAAGATATATAAGGCGTGAGGACCAGAAACTAGAAGATTTTGGCTGGTTAAGCATTCAGGCTTTTGAGCAGTAATTCAGCTGAGACCCATTCCGGATGAAGACTCAGAGGCCTCCAGTCTAAGGAGACAAGACCAGCTGAGGATCCGGCGAGGTGGAATAGCTGTGGCTTGTTCTGTCTCTCTGATCTACCAGCATGGACCCCAATAACTCGGCTCGGGTCTGATTTTATTAATAAGAACTTTTAACATTCCTGCTACAGAATATTCCTGGATCCTTGGCATGAATCAAAGCTATGATACCAAACAGTAATAATAGAGTCATTATATTCTTTACAACTCAACACTCACAGAAGTCCCACATTTAAGCATGTCCTTGATGAAACAGCAGATATTAATTTTATCCAACACTGACCCTTGGTGATGAAATGTGATGCGTATATGAAATGCTTGCTGCTGTATACGGAAACACATGAGATGGCTCCAGGAAAAAACATTGGAGTGGTTGAGTTGTCTGTTCTATTAGGAGCTTTCTCATGAAATTATTACCTGAAAGAACAACTGATGAATTTTAGTTTTGCAAACTTGGACATCTGGCAGACATTTTCTTAACAATGGACAAAAGGTATCTGCCATTTCCAGGATGACAATTGTGAGTCGATGTTGCCAGTTAGAAAAATCCAAGTTTTCAAATAAAAATTAAAAATTTGTGCTGGGCGGTGGTGGTGCACACCTTTAATTCCAGTACTTGGGAGACAGAGGCAGGTGGAACTCTGAGTTTGAGGTCAGCCTGGTCTACAGAGTGAGTTCCAGGACAGGCTCCAAAGCTACACAGAGAAACTCTGTCTGGAAAACAAAAACAAAAACATTTTATTACTTATTTTTTAAACTTTGTTTATACACTTGAAGAAAATTTGCTTATAGCACAATTTGCCTCACATATATTCCAGGTGGTGTATTTGTTTTCAGTTACAATTTTTCAATTAAAAAAAAGAATAGTATTATTTTCTGTTTAGTTTATATAAAATAAATAACAATAAAAAATGTTTCTCTTAGGTGGTGGTGGCGCACACCTTTAATCCCAGGGTTTGGGAGACAGAGGCAGGCAGATCTCTGTGAGTTCGAGGCCAGCTTGGTCTACAAATCGTGTTCCAGTACAGCCAAGACCGTTGCACAGAGAAACCCTGTCTCAAATACACCCTGCTAAAATGTTTCTGGTATACTACCAACAGAACACAAAAACAGTGTACCTATTTTGCAATGTTGCTGTTTTTTGTACTTATTTTTGACTGTACACAATCCAGGCAGAGTTACAACTCTACACTTCAACAACATGCTATCAGTCCTAAAAACTGCCTTTAAAAGAAGCATAATCCACCTTCATTTATATGCATGCATATCATTTAAACTTAGAATCTGTGTAGTAGTGAGAACATGCTATTTTTGCTTTTCTGAGTCATCTCACACAATACTATCCTTTCCAGAACCATCCTTTCTCTTGAAAGTTTCATGACTTCATTTTTTCTTCATGGTTGAGTGAAAATCCATTGTGTTATATGTGCCATTAAGAGAGGAAGTAGAGGCAGTGAGAAGGAGGTGGGGATGAAAGGTCATGCGTCCCATGAAAGTAGAGTAGAGCCTACTGAGGGTGGTATGATTCAAATGAGGGAGGTGCATGCTGTCTAGAAAAAGGTTCAATGACAATACCACCAAGAGAAAGTAAAGAAACTATAGAGCGATGAAATCATCATTGCTATACCTGTACTTGTTTGATAGTTGTGGAGACAGTTTATAAGTTATAAGCAAATAAAAGACAAATAAGCAATTTGGCTCAAGAAATTTAATCTATCCTGGGCTGGGAAGATTGCTCAGTTGAGTAAAGTACCTGCTGTCGGAGTGTGAAGACCTGAGTTCCAATCCATAGAACACATGTGAAGGTAGATACAGCACCCAGTGCTCCTATGACCACATGAGAAATGGAGACAGGAGACTCCCTGGAGACTCATGGATCTGCTGGCCTGTTGCATGCAGTGCTAAATAAAAGACCTTGTGTCAAAATGGAAGGAAACCTGGGGTTGTCCTCTGATTTTTACATGTAAGCCATGATACAAGTATGCTGTTCTCTCTCTCTCTCTCTCTCTCTCTCTCTCTCTCTCTCTCTCTCTCTCTCTCT